AACTATTCAGAAACAACAAGTCTTAGAACGTATTTTGTTCTAATAATATAAAAAAATGCGACTGTAAAATCTATGGTATATTTTAGAAAAAGTCTATCACTCCTAACACTAAGTTAGATCGATTTAACATATATAAAGTTTGCCTAAAAAGATTTTACACTATGTGAAAACTTTTGATTTCATAACATAAAGGTTAATATCAAAGAATTATTTAACTACAAAACTAATTGAATATGGTATTAGGTTTCAAAAAAATATTTATCTAACTTATTAGAATATATTTTTTCATAAATAATTAAATTGATCATAAAAAAATATGTATTACTTGTTTTTCCTCTCATGCAAGAAAACTTTCTCTTCCTCGTTATTGCGCCAATTTGTTCAACTGTCAGCTATTGACGCGTTTAGCTACATGAAAAGAAAAAAAGAACGATTGGTCCGATTGAATAAAACGCAATGCATTCACATTAAATCACTTGAATCTTTCCGAAAAAGTAAGAGCTCGTATACTTGATTTTATACTATATTCTTTCAATCATATTTCTGTATGAGTGAATTGATCTGGTGAATATGTTTCATACTTCTACTATGTTGATCGTTACACCACGTGTATGTATGTTCATCTCTCAGCCAGACACCTTTGTTCTGCATTTGTATACTATGTTAGAAAATGAATTAATTGTTATGCAGATAATAATCTATATGAATGGTTATTTTTATTTAGTAAATTCAATTTCCTTTTTATCGTTCGTCAATTTCTTTTTTTTAGATTTCGTTGTATAATTTGTTAGTGTCTTTTTAGGTAAAAGTTGCTTGTAAACCACATATTGGCTCTTACGGTTACCGATATTTGTTGTTTACCATCTCTTAGGTGAGGGGTAGTTGATTTTCTCATTTCTTTTGAGTTCTCAAGCCAGTTAGCGTCAAATGAAGATTTTCAATTACTCATCAACTGTGAGTTGTTAGAGAAAAGCAGACGTCTAGAAAAATATTTTTATGAACAAGCACCCACGAAACTATTTTTTTTATTTGATATTTGAGAAATGAAATAAAAGATCTTTGAGGAAAAGTTTTCTTAAACCAACGTATCTTTTAACTGCAACTGGCTTTTCATTTTTTCATGTAAAATATAAGGGCTGCGTTTAAGTTGAACACTCATGCTCGTGAGAAGAAAACTATGTTTCATTTGCATTTTATCCCCTCAAAATTTGACAAAGAATATTGTTTCGGTTCAAGTAATTCATATAAACGAAGAGTGAAAAATAATTTGTATTCTTCATCGTTTTGATTGAACAAATTCAATAAAAAAATATTCAAATGTAATTTTTCTTTTTCTTCTAGGAATTTCAACAGCGGGCAATGATCATCCTAATCTTTATCGTTGAATATCCTATTAAATATTAAAACAAATTTGTATTGTCTGCTGTTATAACAATAAAGTCATCCTTGTCGAAATTGATAAGTAAAAATATACTTTTTCTTATTTTCGTCAAAGTATTGATAACAACTATTGATATCTTTTCGTTTAGAAATGAACAGCACATATGAGGGTGTGGGTGTGTAGGCAACTTCATCCTTCAAACCCACATCCACACCCACACCTAATCGTTTAAACTGTATCTTAGAGTGAAAAAATTAAATTTAAATCTCTACGTTACAGTTCTTTTAGTTCCTATGATGTTTCATGAAATCTCAACGTCCACACTTTCCTCCTTCTTGTTAAATATTTTCAAAAAATTTCAAGGATCATTTTGTATTAATCCCTTAAAATTTTGCATTTATGAAACTGAAATAATGGTAGAAAAGTAATAGATGGCTCATTAATTTCGAATCGATTAGTTTATACCCAAAAATTTTTCAATGGAATTCATGTTCTATTTTCTTTGTGTATTTTAATCAATGATTTCAGAATGGCAAAAGTTATTTTATCAAGTGCGTGTAATGATTTTTCTTTTTTCTATTAAGAATTGAGAGAAAAATTTGACATTCATGGATATGATTTCTAGAAGTAAATCAAACACGTTGTCAACAAATATTTCATTTTTTTCTGTCAAGCAAGACTATTAAACAGTTTGTTTTATTTTAATAATCAGTAACTTCATGTGTGAATGAAGCCTAATTAAGAATAAAATAGTGATAGAAAAACAAAGTATTTGCATTGCAAAATAAAGTAAACGAATCAAATAGTTATTCTTATGTATTAATTGACAAATTAGTTTCGAACAATTAATCTATTGATTTTATTCAATTCATTATAATTCAATGTAAATACAAACCGTAGAATTTACATATATTATATCCAATATACTATAAAAAATAATGATACTTAAATGCATTTTATTGTTGTTTTTTGAATAATGGTTGACATAATATATTTTATTTTGAGAAAAAGGAAACGCAAGATGGGATTTGATTCTTGGTAAAAGTCAAAAAGATTTGTCGTATTCAAATCTCAAAAATCTTAGTTATTTATATATCAACAAGTTACTTAAATAGAAGGACAACTGACATGCATATCCTTGTTGACTGAGATAAAATCTTAAATATAAACACGAACAAATGCTTCGATATGTCTTCGACATGTTGGGCATGTTCGAAGCGTACGACTACAGGAAAGACATGTCGTTAAATGACCACATGGGATACAGGCCAGTTGTTTCTCGTCTCCATGACATATAATACAGGGATTAATTATCGACGAAATTTTTGTTGCATCTTTTTCTGGCATTGTTGAGTCATTTTTATTTGTTGTTGTCGATTTGATTTTAGATGTCTCAGAAACTAATTGATTTTGTGATATATCCATCTTGTCATTGTTTGAATGTGTTGATGAATCAGATTGATTTGTCTCAAGAATTCTCTTCATCTGAACACTAGGAATAATAATATTATCTTTATTACCTTTGATATGATCGATTTGCTTTTGTAGAATAGTACATGCTATTAAGAGATCAGCATCACTAATAAAATCGTCTTCTAAATAAATAGATAATAATTGTTAGTATATTAATAAATTGATATAAATAATTTACGTTTTAATTGTAATTGATCTTCCCAACATCGTTTTATAACTGATAACTTAAAGTTTTGATCGAGTAGATTTTGCGAACTCGATAAATCAAGTCGAGCAGCAACAAAACGTGATAAGATATTCGAATCATTAAATTGTAATTGAAATTGGTTTGAAATATATAGATTATCATTTTCTCTTCTCTCCTCTGATGGATTAGTTTCATTATGGTCTAGTCAGAGAAAAAAGAATAGGTTAATTTTCTCTCATTCTCAGAATAATCAATGGTCATTATTTACCTTGTAGGATTGATAAAACATATGGGCATATCGGTGAAAGTGTTTTATGAACTTCAGATGGATCATCGATATCTGCTTTCCATTGTTGACAAATCAAATTGCAATATAAACAAATAACACGATCACCAACATTACATGCAAAAAATCCAGCATTAATCATTTGTTCAGCAGATGGTTTTATTTCATGAGACCAATGAGAAAATGTTCGACGTCGGATTTGTTTGAGTTTATTCACTTCGGACAATTTTAAATTCGATTTAAATTGATGCCAATAAGATTCTGTTTTCTGACGTTTTCTAGGATTTTTTTCATTATTGGATTTCAAAAAAGAGTTTAGTAATTTAGAACAAACAAATGGACAATTAGGATTACGTTCAGTATGCACAATATTTGGTACCATATCTTCAGTCCATCCAGATACTTCTAAATGACATTGGTCACAATGAACGGTGTCACCATCACCAGTGTATCTGAATCCAGCTAGCAACATATCTTGTATTGAATATATACTCGATGGTTTAAGTCGTCCTTGTATTTTCTTCATTCGCTTATTTATATCTTGTTTCAACTGATCTAATTTCTCGTTTGATTTTGTATGCAACAAGAAACATGATGATCGATCTATTGCAGTTTCCATATTTGAATGTTGAAATATTTTCGTATGCTCATTAATTTGATAGTTTTTCTTTTGTCGTATGTCTTGTATTCTAAATAACTCCTTGTATATATATATGTGTATTTCTAGGTTTTTTCTTGTTTTATAGATGAGTATGATTATAAATACATTCCCTTCGTTCTTATTAGTTGTTATTCTATTGTTTTTTTCCACATCCTAAGGATGTCTTTTTTCTTTTTTATCATGTACGCGTTGGAACTTATATCTTGTGCTGCTATTCGAGTGTGGGATGTGCGTGGGTATGACATCGTTGGGAAATATTCTATAGATTGACTAATTCTGTCATTTGGAAACTGTATCATATTACTCGCGTCATAGAAATTGTGATATTGTTAGGGATGCACGGTTACGGTTTTTATCGGTTCCAAACAACCGGAACCTATGGAACCGATAGGAACCGATAAGAATCGGAACCGAAACTGGAACTGATAAGAACCGGAGTCAAAACCGGTAAGAATCGGTTGAAACCGGGGTGTGGGGACGTAGGTAAGTGTGTAGATATGGGTGTGAGTGTTAATGGGTAGATGAATTTCGAAGTGTGCGGCTGTGGTTGAGGATGTGGGTGGGTGTGAGTGTATTTGTCGAAACCAGTACCCAAACACACCATTGGTTTCGATTTTAGTTCTTATCGGTTCCTATCGGTTCCAGTTTCAGTTTTCATCGGTTCCGGCTCCTACCGGTTCTTATCAGTTCCGGTTACGGTTTCTATCGATTCCTACCGGTTCTATCGGTTTCGGTTCTAAAACCGCAACCAGCATCGTTTAAAACCGGAGCCGGTGCATCCATAGATATTGTTAACAACAGAAGAAAGAAAAGAAAATGGAAAGATACAGACAGTAAAATATCTGTATTGTGAATACTGCCATACTATCGAAAATTCCTCACATTAGCGAGGTGATCACTCTACAGGAGATTTATACAAACATAGAGAGTTTTTGAAATTTATCATATGTAATAGCTCTGTTCTAGTGACTATTTAGATAGGGAAATCAAATGCATTCATAAGTGGTGAAAATGTCTACATATTGTATCGAAGATTTTCCAAGCATCATATATTGGAATTTTCCCACTATGTTATCTTAGAACGTGTATGGAATTTCCTCAACTCTACTCTTATATATATTCGTACTCGTTCTCCTCTGCTCTTGTCAGATATTATGCTCAAAAGTTGCAGAGATGAATTCTAATTTATATAAATTACTCCTGCAAATATGTTGAACAAAATACCTAGAAAGATATGAAACCTATCACTAAGTTGTTGATGAGATATACTGCTGTCTTTTCCGTTGATCAAATTTATTTTTGCTTCTAAAGAAAGCTTTCCAAGAAATCCCATATTCACCAATCAATGATCACAATGGTAGGAACCAAAAACAGGCGTTCAAAATCAGAATGCCACAGTGATCACTTAAAAGGATGTCAAAACCAACAAACATTTACTTGATAGAACCTAAAGATGTTCAGTATAGCAGGTTAATCACATATGAAGAGCACTCAGTGAAAGAGATTTTACTGCACATGTATGTACAGTCTTCGGAGAGAAAAGAGAAATTTTATTAATCATATGTGAAACTGATGAATAATAATACATCACTTGAATCGTATACTTCAGTAACTTGTTACACATATTTTTCATCGGAATCGATTGAAAATCTCTAGTATTGATGAAAATTTATAAGCAGAAATGTGATTTTTATATTTAGTCATCAACTCTTTTCAGTTACGGTTGAAATAGAAACAGTAAAGTCATCGAAACGCCACATAAAATATTTCTTCTTCTAACCGTTTACTATTCTCTATAATTTTGTAATCGCATGTGGCAATAAATTCTTCATCTGACCATTTTTCTCGTGTTTCTTACAATGATTTTGATTCAAAGTTAACTGTCATCATACCAATCGTTCAGGATTAAAAATATGGATGTGTATGTGGGTGGGTGTGGGTGGGTGTAAGTGTGAGTGTGGGTGTGCGTGTGGGGATGGGTGTGGGTGGGTGTAGGTGTGGGTGTGGGGGTGGGTGTGGGGGGATGTAGGTGTGAGTGTGGGGGGGGGGGTGGGTGTGGGTGGGGGTGTGGGTGGGGGGGGGTGGGGGTGTGGGGGG